CTTGCAGGTATTCAGAAAGGCATGCCGGGCAGCGCTCCTGTGCGGGGTACCCGCAGGGGCCTTGTGCGGTTACCCGCATGCCCTGTGCGAGTACCCACGGGGGCCTTGTGCGGGTACCCGCGGAGGCCTTGTGCGGGTACCCGCGCGGCCTGTGCAGGTACCCGTGCGGGCCCTGTGCGGGTACCCGCGGGAGCCTTGTGCGGGTACCCGCGCGGCCTGTGCGGGTACCCGCGCAGGCCTTGTGCGGGTACCCGCGCGGGCCTTGTGCAGGTACCCGCGCGGGCCTTGTGCGGGTACCCGCGCGGGCCTTGTGCGGGTACCCGCGTGGCTTCTTGGCGTGTTCTTGAATTGACTAAGTCTAAGTAAATTCCATTGAGGTTTTTGCAGAAAGCTTAAGGCTTAAGGCTTAAGGCTTAAGACTTAGGTAGTTCAGTATTACCCACAGACATACCGGCCCTTGTGCGGGTACCCGCGCGGGCCTTGTGCGGGTACCCGCGCGGGCCTTGTGCGGGTACCCGCGCGGGCCTTGTGCGGGTACCCGCGCGGGCCTTGTGCGGGTACCCGCGTGGCTTCTTGGCGTGTTCTTGAATTGACTAAGTCTAAGTAAATTCCATTGAGGTTTTTGCAGAAAGCTTAAGGCTTAAGGCTTAAGGCTTAAGACTTAGGTAGTTCAGTATTACCCACAGACATACCGGCCCTTTGCGGGTACCCGCGCGGGCCTTGTGCGGGTACCCGCGCGGGCCTTGTGCGGGTACCCGCGGGCCTTGTGCGGGTACCCGCGCGGGCCTTTTGCGGGTACCCGCGCGGGCCTTGTGCGGGTACCCGCGCGGGCCTTGTGCGGGTACCCGCGCGGGCCTTGTGCGGGTACCCGCGTGGCTTCTTGGCGTGTTCTTGAATTGACTAAGTCTAAGTAAATTCCATTGAGGTTTTTGCAGAAAGCTTAAGGCTTAAGGCTTAAGACTTAGGTAGTTCAGTATTACCCACAGACATACCGGCCCTTTGCGGGTACCCGCGCGGGCCTTGTGCGGGTACCCGCGCGGGCCTTGTGCGGGTACCCGCGCGGGCCTTGTGCGGGTACCCGCGCGGGCCTTTTGCGGGTACCCGCGCGGGCCTTGTGCGGGTACCCGCGCGGGCCTTGTGCGGGTACCCGCGCGGGCCTTGTGCGGGTACCCGCGTGGCTTCTTGGCGTGCGGTCCCGCGCGGGCCTTGTGCGGGTACCCGCATGGCTTCTTGGCGTGTTCTTGAATTGACTAAGTCTAAGTAAATTCCATTGAGGTTTTTGCAGAAAGCTTAAGGCTTAAGGCTTAAGACTTAGGTAGTTCAGTATTACCCACAGACATACCGGCCCTTTGCGGGTACCCGCACGGGCCTTGTGCGGGTACCCGCGCGGGCCTTGTGCGGGTACCCGCGCGGGCCTTGTGCGGGTACCCGCGCGGGCCTTTTGCGGGTACCCGCGCGGGCCTTGTGCGGGTACCCGCGCGGGCCTTGTGCGGGTACCCGCGCGGGCCTTGTGCGGGTACCCGCGTGGCTTCTTGGCGTGTTCTTGAATTGACTAAGTCTAAGTAAATTCCATTGAGGTTTTTGCAGAAAGCTTAAGGCTTAAGGCTTAAGACTTAGGTAGTTCAGTATTACCCACAGACATACCGGCCCTTTGCGGGTACCCGCGCGGGCCTTGTGCGGGTACCCGCGCGGGCCTTGTGCGGGTACCCGCGCGGGCCTTTGCGGGTACCCGCGCGGGCCTTGTGCGGGTACCCGCGCGGGCCTTGTGCGGGTACCCGCGCGGGCCTTGTGCGGGTACCCGCGTGGCTTCTTGGCGTGTTCTTGAATTGACTAAGTCTAAGTAAATTCCATTGAGGTTTTTGCAGAAAGCTTAAGGCTTAAGGCTTAAGACTTAGGTAGTTCAGTATTACCCACAGACATACCGGCCCTTTGCGGGTACCCGCGCGGGCCTTGTGCGGGTACCCGCGCGGGCCTTGTGCGGGTACCCGCGCGGGCCTTGTGCGGGTACCCGCGCGGGCCTTGTGCGGGTACCCGCGCGGGTGCGGGTACCCGCGCGGGCCTTGTGCGGGTACCCGCGTGGCTTCTTGGCGTGTTCTTGAATTGACTAAGTCTAAGTAAATTCCATTGAGGTTTTTGCAGAAAGCTTAAGGCTTAAGGCTTAAGACTTAGGTAGTTCAGTATTACCCACAGACATACCGGCCCTTTGCGGGTACCCGCGCGGGCCTTGTGCGGGTACCCGCGCGGGCCTTGTGCGGGTACCCGCGCGGGCCTTGTGCGGGTACCCGCGCGGGCCTTTTGCGGGTACCCGCGCGGGCCTTGTGCGGGTACCCGCGCGGGCCTTGTGCGGGTACCCGCGCGGGCCTTGTGCGGGTACCCGCGTGGCTTCTTGGCGTGTTCTTGAATTGACTAAGTCTAAGTAAATTCCATTGAGGTTTTTGCAGAAAGCTTAAGGCTTAAGGCTTAAGACTTAGGTAGTTCAGTATTACCCACAGACATACCGGCCCTTTGCGGGTACCCGCGCGGGCCTTGTGCGGGTACCCGCGCGGGCCTTGTGCGGGTACCCGCGCGGGCCTTGTGCGGGTACCCGCGCGGGCCTTTTGCGGGTACCCGCGCGGGCCTTGTGCGGGTACCCGCGCGGGCCTTGTGCGGGTACCCGCGCGGGCCTTGTGCGGGTACCCGCGTGGCTTCTTGGCGTGTTCTTGAATTGACTAAGTCTAAGTAAATTCCATTGAGGTTTTTGCAGAAAGCTTAAGGCTTAAGGCTTAAGACTTACCCCAAGGGTCCGGATCATCTGATTATCGTGTGATCTCTCATAGAGGCCGCTCTTGCAAACAGAATGAAGTAGAGGACACTATGGCGAACAATAGCTTTTATAGTTTAGCATTGTTTGTAGGGGTGGTGGCCTATGGGGTTTAAACATCTGTGCTTTTGGGGCTTTCTCAGTGATCTGCAGGGTTGCGAATTACTATGAGGGTTTAGAGCTTTAGCGGGTTTAGGATTTAGGGTTCTTTTAAGGGTTTAGAGCTCGAGCTCTAGCGATCGCATTGGGGCAGGACTTAATGGGGTGGGTGGGGGCATCGCTGCTGTTTCGGCCCACTGCCCCCTGGACTCGCTCATTTTCCTCCTCACGTGCCCTCGGCCTGTCTTGCATCGTCACCGTACACAAGCTGCATATACCATCGTCTGACAGCGATGTCACACAAAGACCAGGGATGCGATACGGCGGCTAAACCTCGGATCGGGTTTGTACTCATGTGATGCGAATACCAAGCGACATCACATCCAGAAATCGAACATATGATGCAGATAAGAAACGTGCAATCTTTCCCACGACATCTTCCTGCATGAAGCAATGGTAAAAACGGCATCCTTCACCTCGGCTTGGCCGCTAGCAGCCACAATTCAATAACGTGAGGATCGAAAGTCAGCACTTGCTAGTGCCTTGTTTGATCTAAGTTGCGATGGTACATCTGGTGCCATGCTAGCTCCTGCCATGCCTTAGAATCGATTCGCTCATCAACGATAGCCCGCATACACGTATGTTGCTCGATGTAGCTTGTTTGCATACAGGACACGTGGATCTTTGGTTTCAAAGGCCACAGGGGAGTTCCAAATGAAGCAGCCTTTTCCGAGAGCACCATGTAGGCCATGAGACACCGATCCTTATGTGCACGATTTTTATACTCCGACTCCTCCAGCTCACAAGTGCAAGTATTGAGCCAAGCATCGCAGCACTCCAGCATGTTTTCGGCCTGCTCCCTCGACAGGTACCGCGATGCATCTTCGGAGGCATTGAACCAGCAGGCGAGGAAGTGCCTGCGATTTCGGGTAAGGGAATTATTATAGCATTATGGGTTTGACCTACATAGTTCTAACTATTAAACCTCCAAACCCAAAAGTCCCCGCGATTATTATATATGCAACCTTATTATGGGTCTAACTATTAATTGTAATAACAAAAAATCCCGAATTACCTCCAAACCAAAATAGTCCCCGCAATTATTGCATGCAACCCCGGCGAGGTACTAAATTGCAATGCAACCCTGATCAGGATGATCATCTTCCTCTACAGCTATAGCCCCCGCTTGAGCTTCAGTTAGGAGAGTAAAATCCCCAGTGTACATAATTAATAAATAATAATCGCCACGTGATTTGTAAAGTGAGACAACATTGTATCATACGAGATACGTGCACTGAGCCATAAGCTTCAAGTCGTCAGGGGCACCATGGACCTGGTCGTTGTAAAACTCCATGAGGAATTCAGCCAGCCAGGCCACCACGACCCGAGCCTCAGATTATTATTGATCCCAGGGGCGAACTTATATAGCCCATGCTCCATATAGCACGGTTTAATGGGTACATATTTTATTCTATAAAACTCGATTCTATTGCAGCTTGCAAGCATTGTAGGCCTTTGCCCGCAATTCAGGATAAGGCCCATCGGGGGATTTCAAGGAAGCAGTGGTGAAGCGAGGTTGTGTATTCCTTATTATTTCGGAGCACCCAATAAACCATGCATTCAATTATCAATTATCTAATTTGTTGTGGCCAATTAAGCACAGATGAATGCTAGATTGACATCTCAGCGGCGGGATTTTCCGCACAGAGCTCCAGTACTTGAAAGCTTCATGGGCAGTCTGAAGTCGTTCGGCATCACTCCCACAGCCCCACACTCGAAACTCAGATAGGAGCAGCTTGAAGCAACTGCCGACAATCCAGAGGGCAACCCCCAGGTTTACCACATGCATGCTGCACCACTTGAAGGTTCCCGGCGACACGGCATGCAGGTCGAAGAGGGGGCCTGGGACTGAGCATGATGGCCTATGGATTGTAAAATATAATAGACTTAGACACAATTGTAAGATCGAGACATAAAACTTTCATCATAACAGCCTGGATACTTCTAATACCCGGGTGCAGGCAATCTCGCCTAATCTCTTCCATGGATCTTCTGGGCAGCTCATGCAGAATAGAAGGTGCAACAGCCCATGCATGCATGTTCACTCTGCACTGGTGGCAGATTGACTTGGAATTCCAGCCAGTCTTGAGGCCCAGCCATTCCTGCTCAGCATGCTTCATGCAACTGAGAACCCAAGTCTGATCACGATGATGCCATGCATGCTAAGTACGGGTCTCATTACCTGGGGCAGTCCCACTCATGATTACCCCCCTAAGCTGGAAATCGTACCAAAACTCTATACCCTTATATTGTATAATACGGGTCCTTCTGCCACTTCCAGTCTGCACGTATTTCAGTGCATGTGCCAAAGATCATCGCAGACTCCCCAGCTCGGCATATGGGTACACCATCCACTAGGAGGTTGATGCTGGCTACAACCTCAGCGCCGTGTATATGTATAATAACCGCAATGCACTGGTCCAAAGGACCCAATAATTCGGTACTCGGGTTTGGGACAGTAGTTATATGTAGGTTATAGGAGAGTATATATGATGATTATAAGGTACTTGGGCCCATTAGGGATAATATTATATATAGCTATATAACCATACCGGCTGCTAGTCACACCGATGAATTGTGTATCGTACACATATGCCTCCATGGCACCGGCCGCATGTAGGCTGCAATCGTGGCCATACCAAGGCTAAGCTCCTGGGATAAGTTGGTTTGGCACATTCTCTTTATGGTTGTAGAATTTCGAATTGTTGTAGCCAAATAAATTTAAAGCTACAAGCTAATAGGCCAGGCATCGCAGCCACAGACCCAAAGAGGGAAGCAGCTTGTATAGGAGTCACGGTTGGGATCTAAGCAGTAGCCCAGCATACACACCATAACCTTTTGGTTAAACTTTTTCCCATACCTGCAATCATCGCCCCAAAGCCATAGCGGGTGGTGTCGAGATGAAGGGGCCGCTGTTCCAGTATCCCATTGTTTGTGATGTTCCCAGTACCTCTGAACCGCATTTTCAGAGACCTTCGGCCATTTCCCAGTACGAACCAGCCAGGGAACCAGCTTGTGTGGTAGGACGACTGGCATGGACCTGGACTTACAAAGTTACAATCTATGAGTTGACACTGATAGGAACTCGTGAACGACTGAAACTCTCGAAGATGAACCACCTTGAAAGCTCGACGAGCGGCTTTGTGACCATCTTCACAAAGCCCCGCTCAGGCTTGATTGGCACATCCACCATGTCGATGGGAACCTGGATGGTACAGAGGCTGGAAGCTTATGAGATCGATCTAGAATGCGAGGCAACATGTTCAAGGATTGCATTGTGAGGGTCAAGACACATCATCCCCCGTCGAGCTTGTCCGTAGAATATCTCTTTGAACATTGCTAGTCCACCTGCCGTGTGCACCTGCAGCCTCGAGCTTTGCACACGGGCCGGTCATGGAGATCCCGCGGCTTCCAAGCTCCTGCATGCATGCATAGTAAGCTGATAAGACTGGAAAGCTTCAGGGTGATAAGCTTGGCTCCTCTTTCATCGCTTGCATCGTTTCACGGGCACTCTTGAAGGATGCCTGAGCTTTGAAGGGATCGATTGTAATGCACATTGAAAGGGTGGTTGGACCTCATATGCTAGCAAGTGGCACCACGGCCAACTGCTCGCATCAAATGGCTGAACATAGGCGATGTCCTCGCCCGGGCTAGATCACCTGCGAGGGAGTGGGAATTTCAGGAATAGTCCTTAATGGGATACCAGACCATGACATTGCATTGCACCCATCAGAATTGACTTGGCTATTTTTATTCGTCGCAGCAGCACGTGTCCAGGAACGTAGAGCGATCCCGGCAGTCGTTGCCCCATATAGAGAAACCAGCCCTATAGGCAAGCCTTTAATGAAGCAAAATGCCCGGTAAGCTATAGTTACCTATACCTGGAGCTATTGGTGTTCAAGGCTTGTCATTCGGGCTTTCCAAGAATTCGGGATCTGGCTTGACACAAAATCCAGCAATGCTCAGCAGCCGCAGGTTAGACAAGCAATGCATGTTCCGTGATGGTTGCAAAGCTGCCCAGGTCTAATAAGCCTATTAGACTTGCTAGATAGATCAGATGCTGAAGGATAATAATGTGTGCCGAATCGATAGACCCGGCATGTATACAGCAGTGTATGTTACATATATCGAACTACATTTAAACTAGACTCACTCATCCAATCGAACATGCATGCCGTCCCACAGCTACATTGCTTCGGCCCAGCAAGCTCTGCAAAATGCGATCCCTGCTGCAGGTCACGACAGCTGCAGCTCATCCTCATCGCCCTTTGGCCTTGCCCTTGGGTTTCGGCTTCGGTGGCTCCTGGGACATATAAGGTTAATCGTTGCAAAGGTCGAAAATATTGCCATCTATCATTTCAGCGATCGTGTATCTGATCGGTCTCAATTTGATACAATTAAAGATATGATCTAGATAGCTATAGGTTTTTTCTAAAGGTTTTTAAGGGTGGGTTTAAACGATTATATATCTAGATCTGGCATTAATTTGACAATCCAAGAATCGAGTGCAAGCTTGATGGGCCTCATACAGCCGGTGAAGTCGATCGTCAAGACGTCTGCCGTTTTCAGGGCCTCGTCGATCGCGGTGCGAGCCTCCAAGGTCAAATCCTTGTCTTGGATCTTGTTGTTGGTGGAGTAGAGCTGTTCCATCTCGCTCTTCAGGGTCTGAATCTCATCGTTCTTGAGTCGCAGCTGCTCCCCGTAGCCCTCTTTTGTTTTGCTCGACCTGGGCATTGCAGTATATTGGATTTCTCAATAAAACATTATAATGGTTATTGTACGAAAGTACGACCTAGATTCGGACCAAGTGGCAGCAAGTTCGACTCGTCCACCTCTTTCAGCCACACCATGATGTCCGTCAGTTTCGCAGACAGCTGTTGGATTTTCCCGTTGAGTTTTTTGGTCTGGGCATACTGGTTCACCTTCTTGTTGGGCTTGTCCGGGTTCGGATTCGGGATGTTTTCAAGGGAGGACGACTTGACCATCCCTCCGGCACTCATGCCGAAATCATTCATCCGGTCTCCGCCACCTGCCGCCATATCTCGCAGCAATGGCCTTAACAGATTTAGCAGGGTTATGTCGTTAGAATGTAGCATGGGGGGGATAAGCATTTAGTGGGTATAATTACGAAGAGTCTCGCAAGCTGGGCCGTGGCATCGGGATGCAGGCTTGCACTCGCATGGAATCCAGTTGTGGTGGTAGTAGTGTCCCATAACTCGAACTCCAGGGAATCGAAACACCTGAACATTTCCCAGTCCTTGGTCACGAGATGAGGCAATTATAATTCACAGGAGCATTGTAGGGTGGCCATGGGTTCAGGGGCATTGTTTATATGAAACGGATATATTAGTTTAGCGGATACAATAAAAAATAATAATAATTTAATAATAATATATAATATAATATAATAACAATAATAATTATAATTATATGTAAATGTATATATATATACATAGACTTATATAATTACGACAACAACACAAGCTAGCTGATCGTCGAGTGGCGGGGTCGTCAAGCTCTGGATGGGAGAACCAAAACGGTCGAGGTTCGGTTTTCACATTGCGGTTCTTCTCTTCTTCTTTTTTCCTGTCGCGAATCCTCTCCGCCGACTTCTTCCCGAATTTATCCTTCATTGCCTTGAAACTCATCATAACTTGCTTCCCTCTGGCCTCGTCCGAAACCTTTTTCGTGGCCTCCTGCATGATTGTAGTGGCCATGAAGTCTTGCCCGCCCTTGTACCACTCCTGGAAGAGGGCGCCCAGCTGCTTCAGCCGATCTCAGATCTCGCAGCCATCATCATGCCCCGGGTAGCTCTAGATTGAACATGCAGTCTACACCCTGCTCATGATCGATACCTGTGCTGTCATTCGATTGCAACCGTCCGAAACCCAAGCCTTTTGTGAAGAATTAAATTGCAGACTTGAAGCTTGGCTGTCCCTTCCAGGTCTGGACCTTCTCGAGGATCTCCGGCGGACAGTCACCACCTCAGATTCGGCAGAGCAAGCATTGCTACCCTGACCGGGATGATGAAAGTTTGAATGTTACAGGGTATACCTGAATTCGAATGGAGACACAAAAGAAATACATCAGCAGGCAACACTCAACATCTTGATCATGTCTAGCTGCTCTTCACCCTGCGATCGAATGTCACTCGGGCATTGTGCTGCAGTCTCTTGGCCTCCCTCGTGGTCTCCTCATCCTCCACCATTGCCTCGGGCCCAGGGTCCGTAGTCTTGGTGGTCTCGATTGGCTCTGCCTGCAGCGGTAATTCGGCTTTGAAGTGTGGGGGCAACATAGGACGGGCCATGGGGTACATAAGCGGGCTCGAGGGCAGCCACAGGGTTGCAATTACACACGTCTGTCTCACGATCACGACTACTAGAACCTCGCCTGGCTTCCCATCGGACTGGAGTCTCGTACGGATGCTGATCCTTGTGCATCATGATCAAAGCCGGGCACCTGAGTGCTGACGGAGCTTGGGGCAATTACGTAGACAGAGTCCTTGCATGTTGATTACACCCCCAAGGTCCTCTTTGAGGCGAGTGCATACATGTACATGTGTTGGTATATTGCAATATACACTAGATGAAGACTCCCGAAACCTATCTAGGTAAATAAGGACGGTGTACCCGTCAAGTACCTAGCCCTGGATGCAATTGCAAGGGTTCCCTATGCAGAGTGCTGTTCATTTGAATTAACTCAAGGGACCTCACTAGGTGTACGTACTAGTCTTTTAAATTATATTATATGTACCCTGCACCCAAGTCACCTCGTCCTTGACTGCCAGCAGCGGTTTGCCAGGTGGACTGGCTCGCCCGGCAGCACGGTCGGGACTGTCCTCCAACATCAAGGCCTGGAGCTGTTCTTCCAGGTCCATGCAGATATCAACCTCCGGAGCCTGGTCTGTACACCGACTGTCGTGCTCCGCTTCAACTGCATCCAGGAGTTGCAGGAGAGCATTCGCGAAGTTCAATTGCAGCACATGCACACGTTCAGACTCCTTGCAGACAAAGTCCCGCTTCTCCTTCATCTTCTCGATCGTCCAGTTGTCGATCTTCCTCAGCTGCTCTTTGAAGATGGCGGGGTCCTTGATGTGCATGATCTCTGCCCTTTTTTTGTCTGCTAAGCTGGTGATGATGCCGATGTGTTTGTCCAGATCCTTGCTATGCTTCTCCAGGGTACCTTGGTCCTTGGAGAATAGCACGGCTGTGTCGTAGAGTGCTTTTGCAAGATGGCCGTGGGTCGCATCCACATCCATGAAAGCCAAGCCCGAGTCCCCAATCTTTCGTGTCCACTGCACTATTGCAATGGTTCGCTGTAGTTCCCCGAGACTCTTGGCTTTCTCACCCGTCTTGCCGAACACATACTCAAGCAAAGCCGGTGGAGACCGCCCACAATCACCTGCTTCATCCGGACCGGGCAACCCATGTTCCAACAGTGCATCGCAGACAATCTCTGCCCTGCTCGGCGAGGCCTGGTAAGCGCCAAGGCTCATGGTGCTCTGCGAGTCCAGGTGCCTTGGGCCTGGGCTCGTTTCGTAATGTTGCTTCGGGGTTGCAATTGGGTTTGTAATTAGCAAACTAGAGAAACACGTACACACACACACACACATCATGAGTCACATGAGTCCTGCTCGCATGCACAGTATATTGGTTAAGATCATGATCATGAAATATACACATGCACCTTTAAGTATATGTGCATGCAAACACATCATGGCTGTACGGTTTATTTTCTATAACTTGTGCTGTATCCAAGACCGGTGTGTTCACATCTTCAAGAGATCACGTGATGTGCTATGTATGTGCTGGCTTGTGTGAGTCAGTCCAGCTAGTATAATCCGGATCCTGTCGGGACTATCTAGGGTTGTAGTTGTAATTAGGATATGTTATAAGCAGTACCGTGCAACAATTGGCCTCACCCTGAGAAGTTAGCTACTTACGAGCTAATTCAATTGATTCACGTAACAATGCATTCCTAGGCACGGTTGAGACTTCGCGACTGGCATGCTGTAGCATTCGGCGACACTCTATCCTGCTGGGTACCAGGGCGAACTTGCAGAGCTTGGGGATCCTGGGACTTCTCCGGTTGAACATCACCAGGGCGAACTTGTGGGGCATCTGGATCCTGGGACTTACCAGGGCGAACTTGCTGGGCTTGGGGATCCTGCGACTTCTCCGGTTTCTGAACATCAGCAGGGCGAACTTGCTGGGCTTGGGGATCCTGCGACTTCTCCGGTTTCTGAACATCAGCAGGGCGAACTTGCTGGGCTTGGGGATCCTGGGACTTCTCCGGTTTCTGAACATCAGCAGGGCGAACTTGCTGGGCTTGGGGATCCTGAGACTTCAGCGGTTTCTGAACATCAGCAGGGCGAACTTGCTGGGCATCTGGATCCTGGGACTTCTCCGGTTTCTGAACATCAGCAGGGCGAACTTGAAGGGCATCTGGATCCTGGGACTTCTCGGGCTGAACATCAGTAGGGCAAACTTCTTGGGCTTTGGGATCCTGGTACTTCTTGGGTTTCTGAACATCACCCGGCAGGACTTCGAAGCTCGGCACGAGATCATCTCCATTCGCAGGCAAGTGCACTCGGTCAGAGTCCATGATGTCCGGCTCCAGGTCACGTAGTGTGTCCTGGCCATGTATTATAGGGTCCAAGTACCTATAAGCAATATATATATATATATATATATGTATATATATATATATATATATATATATATATATTGCATATATTATTACATATATATCTATATATATTTATATATTATAGATGTGTGTATATATATATATATATATATATCCTATATATATATATATATATATATAGATATACATGTACATAATTATTATAATTATAAGAAATATAATAGGTATTGCAATTGGCTGCAATTGGCTCCATTCAACTCGGAGGCTGCAGTCATCCATCATTGAGACATATCAGATAAACCCGCTCCTCGACTTCCACCCGAGACTTCTTCTGCACAGGCGAAGAAACGGCGGCTTCGAAAGCTGTATTCAGGTTCCGGCAGGGGCCTGAACTCGCGGGGGTTGCCGTTCTTTCTTTGCCTTTACGATGTGCCGAAGTAGCTGCAGCACCTTGATCTGCACGTCCTCTAGATCTCGTTCTCTCCACTGCAGTCGTTGCTGACTTCGGTGCTCTGCTCTGGCGATCACATGCACTCAGGACATCAGAGCTGCTACCTAGGTTCGTAAATGTGTCGAGTTGCAGAAACCAAGGCAAGCCACATGTATACCCTTTAAACCAGGAGGGGAAGCAGTGCATCCTAGTCACTCCTTGAGAGCTTGGAGTTGCATCGCTGCAGGGCCATTTCCATCTCCTTCTCCATGTTGAAGTCTTCCTGGGCAGCAGGCGGCAGGCCGACAGTTGGATCTGGGCTGGGCCGGGTTGTTGCACGATATAGGGAAACCAAATGAAACCAGCATAGAGGACTACTGTTATATATTGCAGCTAGCTTCGTCTTTCCTCTTCTTGGCAGCCTGCTTGGCTCCAGCCCCGGCTTTTGGAGGCATGGCTATCGACCAATCGCCGTTCAAGCCCTTACAAGGGCAATCCACGGAAAAATTGAAACCCAGCCGACGGAGCAAGATTACGTAGAATGTAACTAAAGCCGCTACGTAAAGGCAGGATTATTTTCACATGTTTTCACTCATATTTCACACCTAGCTGTTCGCCAGAGGGAGCTTTCACAGGATTTCACGTGATTTTCACATCCAAGGCCTTTCGGTTTACGTAGCTCTACGTCGTCTCGATCCATAAACTAGCGGGCAGCATACTGGATTTCACAGATTTTCACGTGGTTTTCACATGTTCCAGGTTCCGGGAAGCTTTTTTCACACATTTTCACGTGATTAGTCACACGTGACAGGATTGGGGGTGTCATGGCTCCAAGTTGCCTAGGCTGACCTTCTCTGAAAGGACTCTGTGCATGGTAGGCTTCCAAAGCACAACAGCACTGGCTTCAGACCGGGTTTTTATCCGGATTTCTGGTCGAATCCTCGTCGGTGGCAGCTCTTTACTGAAGATGCGGATCACTGCTATGCCTGGTGCAACCTCTGAAATGAAGATATACACAGCAAACTAGAGTATTCGTCAATATACGTATCAAATTAGGCAAGCAGCTAGGCCCTCATCAGTGGGAGCAAAGGATACCACAATCGGGTTAGAGGCAATTAAGCTAATTAGGTACTAGGACCCCAGTGAGCTATCGGTAGCTTAATTATAATGACCCTTCATCCCACGAGGTTCTATGATCACTGGCAGCACCTTCAAGAGCCGCAGACAGGCCTGACAAAACTCCGTAATCTCGCAAGCAGCCGTCGCACTGTGTCTGTGCATATGTCCGTGTGTGTGTACATATAGATCAGGTCGCACACACATACATGTATAGAACTATGGAGAGGTCGGGATGCAATGATGCATATGCAGTATACTTGATCATGCTCATTTTAATTATATATGCACATATATATATATATATATGTATGTATGTATACACACATATATATATATATACATACATACATACATACATTCATATATATATATATATATATATATGTATAGGTATATATGTGTATGCACATACTACATGACTTGTTTAAAATGCATCAGAACATTATATTGTTATGAATACGTACATACACACTATAATAATATAATATAATATAATTTTATAATATGATATTAATATAATATACGTATTTTTATATGCATATATATATATATATATATAGATCGAGTGGTAAAGTGTACATGCATTAGAGTATATATCCAGCTCAACATATTAATGAGTTGTTATTATAGTTCAGTACACATAGAATACAGATGCATATGCACGTTGCAAATACAGTATAAGCAAACACATACATATATATATATATGTAGTTGTATCCGGGCAGATCCACGAAGTAAAGCTCACTTGTGCGATCCTGGTATGTTATATATATATATATATATAGTAAGAAATGTGTATATATATATATATATATGTAAGTTTATATATATATATATATATATATATACACATGTCTTGTGTGTTCCTAGGACAGGTATACACATGCACCTGTGTCCTTGCATTGCAACTCCTCAGGGGTTTACACGAGTAATTCAGTCTGGCAGATACACATATATATATATATGTATTATAAACTTATATGTATATACATGTGTATATATATACATATACATATATATATATATATATATATATACATATATACATATACATATGCATCTACATATATATACATAGATATACACTCCCAGCTGCTGCACAGCCCAGCACCCTCGTAGACTGCAGTTGTTATACCGTTTATAAAGTATATAGGTGTAGGTTACATATGCTTTCTTTATTATATGTATATTACGTCGCTAGTATGATCATGAGATATTCGTGTATAGTACTTGCATGATACCTACACACAGACTGAGTAGCCCTGTGTTCATGTGAAAGCTCCTGCACACGTACCTATACACATAGACGTGGCCTGTGGATGAATACGTGTTTGTATGCAGTATACATAATAATTATATAATAATAATATATATATATATATATATATATATATATGTATATGTACATATATATATATATATCATTATAACAACATGTTACATATATATATATATATATATATATATATATTTATATATATATAGCTAAGTACATGCACCACACCTCTGCTTCGTAAGTGACCGTCTCACAACACACCACATGCTTCGCCTGCTGACGGATGTTGGTTGCAATAAAAAAAGTTCGCATGGGCGGCAAGCGACTCGAGCAAGCAACCAGGCTACACTATGCCGCTAAAGCCCGGCTACAGTCACTTGAGTCCTTTGTACAGGGTGCTAAGGAGCTTCTGCAGTGCCACGTACCTTGCCCCTCATGACTGAAATGCCTCAACAAACTTTCGCTTGCCGCCCGACCTAACCAACCCGTGATGGTCACAGTACTCGTTGAACACCGGTTCAGAAGCAACAGTCTCCAGCTGAAGACACCCGAGTGCAATGTACTCCTTCCTCAAAATCGCATCTTCGAGGAACCTCTTGATCTCCTGGATGCAGCCCTCGCTCCAAGTCTGCTGGAGGTCCTGGCCAGAGCGGAACATGTGGTGTTGGCAAGTGTATGCAGATACAGCTAGCTTTACAGGGTTCCGGAATGTGCAGAGACTTCCAAGGGACTACTTTGCAGCAATGCTCATGTAGGACATGTCACCTTTGGCGAGTCTCGGACCTGGTAGCCGGATTCCAGGACCCTCGCCAACTCGGGCATCTCGGGGTCGGTGGCCTGGATCCGGATGGAGAAAACGGACCATGTTATTGTTTTGTGTCGGTATGACGACATAAGCTTGGGGGCATCCATTTTGTTTAGATTGCCCATATATGATATGCTAGAGGTCGCTTTGAGTTTCTGTACTGTGATTAAACGAGAAAGCATCGTACACCTATATGATGGGTTTGACCCGAGCTCGCCCCTGGATCGATGTAGATCATAATCTCTAGAAGGCCGCATCATACTCAACATGCTAATAATAACATCCCCAAGGATCCAAAGGACCCAAGAATCAGGTACTTGGCTTGTACTTAGCTGATGTAGGTTAGGATTTCAATGTTTTTTTTTATTATTAGGTACTTGGGCCCTTTAATGGTATAGGACACTTGCTATTGTGTAGCTCCAACCGTGCACATGCTGTAGAATTCCGTAAACGATCCACTGGGGACCCCCACCAGCCATTCGTCGTGACAATGTTGAACATTCTTGCCAAAGTACCGCTTGTAGCCGCTGGAGGAGTTTCGCCGAGCTTGCCTTTATGTGCTGCTATTGATTATCACAAATCATCAGAAGTAGTGCCGGCACATGCATACATGCAATTCAAGTGCACTCACGAACGTGGCTCAGGTATCGGCACTACAGGGTGGCGAGGATGATCCCCAGGCTTGAATGCCGCTGCAAATGTTTGTGCTTTCTCCTTCGGGGTCTTGTTCGGCGCCGGGAGTCCCCGGATCCAAGGCCTCGGATGGCATGCTTGTTGAAGCATGTGTACATACACACATGTGAGTACATGCATATATATATATATATATATATATACGTTTATATGCATATATACATATGTATATATATATACACAGTATACATGTGCATGTGTGTATCAAGCATGCATGGCCTGTAGACACGGGTACGTACATGTAGGTGGGCTACATGTGCACATACCAACAAGTATAATATAAAGAGAGACATCTCTAGATAGGATGACTGTGCATGTGCATATATATATATATAATACACACTAGTATGCACTGCATGTGCATGGTATGCACGACTTTGCATCCAATCCCGATTGATAGACTCGACCTTGCAGATTACAGAGAGAGAGAGAGAGAGAGAGAGAGAGAGAGAGAGAGAGAGAGAGAGAGAGAGAGAGAGAGAGAGAGAGAGAGAGAGAGAGAGAGAGAGAGAGAGAGAGAGAGAGAGAGAGACCGAGGAGGGGTGTAGAAGTCACACATGTACGTGCTAAGATGGACAACAACCAGAGCAAGTCCGAAAATCTTGCAGCCCCTGAGTTTGCTCACTCCGGATCCTGTCGTACCGTATATAGCTACATATGTC